AGAAAAAACTAAATGCGGAAAATTTTGTAATTCCAAAAATCTCTTTGGTAACTACAGACAAAATAGTAATGAAAAGCCCAAACACAAACAGTAGTCAGAACAGTCACGAGCACTCGGACCGAGCGAAGTTATTGCACGTATATTTAACTTTAGGTGTAACCATTGTAATCGTTGTCGTATCCGTAATCGCAATAAGTTGCATACTTTGCGCATACAGAGTGTGCAGTGACAGAGACCGCGGTTTCGAAAATATACCAATGCAAGAACTTAATCCACCCTTAACTCCTCAAAAAAGAATGATCTGCAAATCTGCACAGACATTACTTGACGGAAAATATTTTAGACTACCAAACAACTACGACACTCCTCACTCCCCACCCGTGGCCGTGCAAGCGGTCCCACTCCAAAAATCCGAAACAATAGACACTCCTCCAATTCTCTCCACTCCCTAAAATAAAGAAGGTACAAAAACACCAATATACCCTCTGTCATATCAGACACTCCATAAAATTAGCACGATGAAACGCACAGCAGCTACCACACTCGGCCCACCATGCAAGAAGGCAAACCGATCTTGGACAACGGAACAAATATGCAACAATTGGACATCGGCATCAACCAGGACACGACTATTCGCAAGATGGGAAAACCGGGAGGCCCAGACGAGCATGCAGCATCCCGAACCGCCGCTATTAGACGACGATGGAAGCTGGAACTACCACGAGCTGACCCGGTATATTTTCCAGGAGACTCATCACGGGCATCTTCACTTAAAGTTCCTCTTCGAAGAAACCTATGGAGGAGAGGGATTCGGACGAGCCCCTTTCCATCCATGCCGTGTGTGCGGACAAGACACCGCACATTGGCAAGGATGTTTCTTTTGCCGAGCACGCGTTGCAGCCGCTCCCAAGGACCAACAACTAGCCATGGAGGCCGAATGTGTCCGCCCCGAGCATTTTATGCTCAGCAATGCCCCTTGTGCCAGATGTATTGGCAAGGAATTTTTACGTAGATTCCAGAGGAGCTTGCAGTTTCATCATTTGGAGTTACTATGATCCTATCCCCAGTCCTTCCATTTCTTATAATAATAAACAATAATGATAGTTACAAAATATATATATAAAAACAAAAAAAACACACACATACAAAAATAATAATTATATAAAAAAAAAAAAAAAAAAAAAAAAACAAAAACTATATATCAAATAATTGCAGTAGCGTTCGGAGAACGCTAGTCCCTTGCTCTATCAGCAAAGGACTCCGAGGGGTGGGCATGTCACGTCGATACGAAAGAAAAAGTACGTGACGAATTATAAGTTATGATTTCAAACCAGGTATCGATAATTTAGTTTTCTATTGTACCAACCCTCCCGGGAAGATTTGTAAATCTATCTAGCGAGATAGATTAGTCTAAGCACGTTCCCACAATACTTCCGCGAATATTACTCACCGCATATTAAATTGGCAAAATCACAGGAAGGGGCACATCAGCCCACGGTATAAAAAGGCTGGATTGGAGTTCGCAATAGCAGTTACTCAGTATATAGAATACAGTACGCAATACACAATTTACGACTCAGTAGTTTCGCAAAGTTGTTTTTTAAGTCTAACTATCCGGCTACTTAGAACCGGGATTATTAAGTATTATAATTATCTTTAAACAATAAAATCTAAACTCAAGCGCAAACACCTGAGACTGTCCATAAAAAACCTCTTTTGAAACCCAATCCTAATAAGGTAAGGAACTATTTTATCTACTTAAAACGCCCTACATATAATAAAGGCGCTATCCCTTTAACCAACCTTTGCTTAAATCCTGACTAAGATCCAACCTTTACCAACGCGACATTACTTGAATATATTATTACGTCTGGCTGTAACATCATTTCGCCTAGACATAACACTTCCTATCATTCGCCAGCTTTCAATCAAGAATTTTGAGACTTGCACACGAATTAACAAAGATTTTGAACGAGAAGAGGTTACTCCTACCATTGACGTAGACACCGATAAGGATGACAATATAAACTCCGAAAAGAATGAGAGTATGGATACCGACGAGGAATAAACTTGTCTGCTTGTCTTATTATTGATAACCCTTTCATCGATTTTTTCTACTTACTAATTAGTTATGAATATATTTATATTTAATACTTAGAAACTATATGTGCAATATGCAAAAATATAAATGTAATCTTTGTTATTAATATTGTGTGATATATAAAAAATAGGAATTAATATTTCTAGAATGTATATACATAAATATTTAACAGTATTTGAGAACTTCTTTATTCTAATAAATAAAAACTAGAAATTATGAGATTAAAGTGTATATTTTCTTATTGATAGTAATGTTGAATGATCCTATAACGAACAAAAAGCTTACTCTTGCAAAAAATTTAAAAAAAATTTTAGTAGTGTAACGGTCCTATATATGAGCTATTTATTAAATTATTAAATGACTGCAACTAGTCTAACGTATTTATCTGTTTAGTCAAAACAATACATTAAGCGGCGCTACCTCACTGTTTACGCGAATGTATACAAATAAGAGTCGAGTCAAAACAAACAGCATGACGTCACAAAATAATAGACATAGATATAATGATCCATAATATTGAGAAAAATATGTTAATTATATATAATTTGAATATAACAAAGTATCGATTATATAGATTTTAACATGCAGATTCACAATATCTCATTCAATTATAAATTAATAATGAATATCAATATGTAAAGTTAATTTATTTATTAACATATGAAATATTAGAAAAATATAAATAATTTATATGTAAAATGAATAAGCATAGAACATGAGTAAGAATTGGTTTCATTAATAACAGCTAAATAACAACTGTTATTAATAAATAAACAATTAATAATTTATTTAAACAATAAGCTATATATAGAACGAAAATATTAAGTTAATACTTGATAATGATAATTTTATGATTTAGAAATCTTAGATAACTAATCTAATAATCGCATATTAAGATTAGAAGAAAACCGTTACAAATATGAAAAATTAGTCATAATTCAAATGTTATTAATTAATTTAAATAATTAATTTTGGAAAATACTTCCAAAATTAATTAACTATAAAGTTATATGAAATTTTAATAATTTTCTATTGTAAATAATGTAATATCACGTTAATTAACTTTATTAGTTAATAACTTTTGACGACACTATTGGCGATAATTGTATATTGTATAAAATCAACAAATAACTAATTCTGTAAAATTTACATGTGTTAAAAACTTAATATTAATGGTTATTTACTTGATCATAAATGTATGTTCGTATCACTTATAAATAAAATAATTCGAACTCTCGTAAACTAACTAATAAGTAATTTCCAAAATTAATTATTTAAATTAATTAATAACATTTGAATTATGACTAATTTTTCATATTTGTAACGGTTTTCTTCTAATCTTAATATGCGATTATTAGATTAGTTATCTAAGATTTCTAAATCATAAAATTATCATTATCAAGTATTAACTTAATATTTTCGTTCTATATATAGCTTATTGTTTAAATAAATTATTAATTCTTTATTTATTAATAACAGTTGTTATTTAGCTGTTATTAATGAAACCAATTCTTACTCTGTTCTATGTTTATTCATTTTACATATAAATTATTTATATTTTTCTAATATTTCATATGTTAATAAATAAATTAACTTTACATATTGATATTCATTATTAATTTATAATTGAATGAGATATTGTGAATCTGCATGTTAAAATCTATATAATCGATACTTTGTTATATTCAAATTATATATAATTAACATATTTTTCTCAATATTATGGATCATTATATCTATGTCTATTATTTTGTGACGTCATGCTGTTTGTTTTGACTAAACAGATAAATACGTTAGACTAGTTGCAGTCATTTAATAATTTAATGAATAGCTCATATATAGGACCGTTACAGTAGAAATAATTTTGGAAGTTTTATAATAATAATATAATACATGTTTTCGACTATTTTTTCTTGTGCAAAACTCAATTGTACTACTGGTTATGTCGTAGGATTAACTTGGAAAGTACCTGACGCTGAAAGCCACTGAAAAACTCAGTTTTTGCTTCTAGCGCTTTACAGATAGATCCTAGGATAAAATCAATAGCATCATCGTATTCTACCTAAAAAAATACATGGAAAAAATATGTTACACTTTTGTCTTCGGTACATTATATGATGAGAAATCTGAATGTATTCTGCCCATTCCATTTCCAGAGTGTTACATGAAGGTTGTAAATACAATAATCGATTTGTCATGATGTAATAGTGCTAAAAGTATTATACATATTTAAAATGTATTTTTTCACGTAGAATACAGTGATGCTATTGATTTTATTCTAGGATCTACCGGTAAAGCGCTAGAGGCAAAAAATAGTATTTTTTAGTGATTTTTATGTCTTTTGAGGTTCTTTCCATAGCTCGAAATATCTGAAAAAATTCAGAGATATTTTTTTAATGGAAAATAACAACATATTTTTCCCAGACACGTATCTGTTGTTGTTTTCGTAATATGGAATTTTGAAATGTTCAAGTAGCTCTAAAAATTTAAATTTAGCGCCAAAAATATTTTGATCCATATAGTTTTGTAGCGGTAGAAAAAGCCTGCAACGTTTATATCAAAATTTTTGTTTTATCTCTAAAACTGATCAAGATATCGTGAAAAAAAACTGAAAAATACAAAATTTTGTCTAATTTTACTCTATAGGGGTCCAGGGTTCTGAAAATCTAAGTATAGAGATTTTTTTACATGTCAAACATAATGGCTCAGTCACTTTTTTATATCTGTAGGGGCTGATTTAACTATCTTATTCAGCTAGACCCTTTGTACATAACATCTTTATATAAGTGATAGGTTAATGTTCAATATTTTCATTTTATTAATTCCTTCCTTATTGACATTAAATAATTAAATATTCAATTCATGATCAACAATATTATGCTATCATTACTGATTGTCTTACAGAAATGAATTTCTATACAATTTTTGTGAATAGTTATACACTTTAATAAATTTAATAGTTATCATTTTACGTATTTAAATATTTTATTGTGTGCAAAATCAGTTTCATTTAACATGAAGAATTCACAATTGTTTAATAAATAACCTAAACTCAAAATATTAAATAAGAAGTTCGGCTCACGGAAGTGATCGAAGGTGATCTCTTTTTTTAGGGATCGTACATCTTTCAATATTCTACCTGCTATCACAAAAAACATCTTCTTCAATAGCTGACACATGATCGCTAGAACAACGTGCTTCTTCAACTACCATGATAGGAGTAGCGCCATCGTGAAGACTAGTTTTCGAACGAGAACGTTTATAAGCATCCCGTGAAACTGCGCGGGTGAAACTAAATTTACGTACAAGTTTTTTGTTAAGAAGAGATGGACTTTTGGGACTATTGATGAGTTCAGTAAAATTACTAATTTTTTCATTAAGTTTATTATAATGTCCAGAAAGAACCTCAGTTGCATGATTCTCAATTAGCCGAAAAGCTGCGTCTATCTGCTTTTCACATGCATGTTCGTGGATAACGCAAAATCGAAGTGCGTAAGTTTGCTTTACTCTTGCTGGTATCATATGAAGACTTCCTGAAGCATTAATATTAGCCAAAAGCTCTTGATTTATATTATCGCTTCCACGTAGTCGAAAACAAACGAGACCAAGGCGAACTTCATTAAGGAGCTCAAAACGTTGATCACGGCATAATTGCGCTTCAAATCTCTGTGCTAATTGAATGTGATTGCGTACATAAGACTGAAGACCTAAGAGTCCGTAGGAACGTAATACAAACCATAGTTTCAGTGAACGAAAGCGTCGACTTAAGGGTATACCCCAATGACGATAATCTATTGATTCAGCAGAGTTTGCATGTTGCAAATAGAGTGGATCTACAACTAGTGCAGAAGTTAACTTTACGCGATCACGAACCCACAAGCATGAGCAATCAAAATTAACCAGAAGCCATTTATTCGGATTTGTATTGAATGAATCAGCAAAATCTATACCCGTCATTAGTTCACGCAATTCTGGACAAATAAAACTATTGCCGGCGTAAGCTGCATCTACATGAAGCCAAGAATTCGGAAAATTTTTACACACTGGTCCAAGCTCATTCAAACAATCAAAACTACAACTGCCTGTTGTACCGAGTGTTGCTAAAACGTAAAATGGTACTAAACCCTTTGCCGTATCATCTAACATAGCCGTCTCAAGAATAGACCCACGAAGACTTCCATGTTCATCTGTTTCAAGCACGCGTAATTTTACCAAACATATCATAGCTGCTTTTTCTACACATGAATGTGCCTCTTTGGAGCAGTATGCAACAAGTTTTGTTAAGAAAGTTGCCTCTTCAAAAGAGGGCTCTTGAATATGTAATTTTCTCAGTGCATAGCTACGTGCTGCTAACATTGTTACAAGAACGCATTCTGAAGCTGATCCTTGGATAACTCCTCCACCATTACTGTAAATGTCCTTGTCTTCTGCAAGAAACTCTTTGGGTAAACCCAAGGCTTTTCCAAACCAGTCAAGAACAATTGTCTCAAGTTCAGTACAAGCGGGTGAAGCAGCCCATGAAAATCCAATACAGCCGATTCCATCGGATAGCATGTCTCCCAATATAGAAGGAAACGAATTCCCCGCCGGAAAATACGCGTGAAAACGTGGATGCTGCCAATGTGTTACCTGCAACAAATATAGATAATTCATATAAGTTTATCTTTGAATTATTATATTCTTAAATAAATAAGCAAATAAATAAAAGTTTATTTTTAAATTATTATATTCTTCCATCTTGTGTCACTTCATAGATAGTTCATTATAAGTTTCTCCAAATATTCGGTTCTTCAAATTGACAGTATCTACTAAGTGATCATATAACGCAGCTCCACGGGAAAAAAAGTTGTGTGTACGAAACACAAACCATGATATCTATACGTTTTCGAGATCACTGGATCCGATTTCGAGGTCCGCTTGATCTAGTTAATTCAAGTTTAGGTCAGATCAAGGTCAAATTCAGAGAGAGCACTGCAAATAAAATATACCAGTGAATTTACATGTTTTCGAGGTCGCTGAATTTGAATCTGAAATCTGTTTAACCCGATCAACTGGAAGTCAAGGTCAGATCAAGGTTAAATTCAGAAAATGCATTGAAAACGGAGTAGAAAAGTATATTACCACGTTTTATTGATCGCTCATCCAAAATCCGAGGTCCGCTTTACTCGATTAGCTCTGGCTCAAAGTCAGATCAAAGTCAAATTCAGAGTTCATTGCAAATGAAGTAGAAAAATATATTTACATCTATTGTGATTCATGCTCTTGATAAAACATCTTTCTAATTTAATTTCTTCTGCTATATCGCACTCGTTTATCACAAAACGATCTCAGGAGTGGTTTCCTTTTGCGCTTCACGCCTATTTTCTGTGCTTCTTTTTTTAACTTCTAGTAGAAATCTGCCATCATATTGACATTCCATCGTCCTTGATACCGTTTTTCCATCTTTTTGATGTCTTGATGGAAACTCTCTCTTTGTTTTTTACTGTAAGTATCTAAGTTAATTGGGAAGTAGTCAATGTGAGAATCAAGACAATGTAATTTCAAGTTCATATTACAGCTTAATGCTCCGAAATTTTTATCTATTTCAGCTGCTATTTCTTTATAGTTTTCACTATTTCAATAACCCAGGAAAACTGTTACAGTTCTTTTAAAACAATTTCATACAGCTTTTTCTTTATTATTCATATGTTCAATAAAACTATCTCTGAGCATTATTAGGCCCATCGAAAACGTCTTCTTTCAATTTTGCTTTAGATTGTTTTGGAAATTTTTGTTTTAAGTACTCATAACATTTTCCTTTATTCCCTTATTCAGGGATTTCATAAATTGCTTCATTAGGTCTAATTTAATATGTAGTTTTCGTAATAGGGAAGAAGCATTCAAGCCATTCTTTACAATATCAGAAAAACCGTCGTTAGTATATTGTATCGATGTAAATGGACTTATGGATGAGTTAGCACCTCGTGCTTACAAAGATGATGAGTGGAAACTTTTTTTTGGATTTTTCAACGCAAAGTCTGAAAGCAGTGTTACGTCATAATACGAATGTCTATGCATAAATATCAGTAGTACATTCAACAAAATTGAAAGATAGCTATGAAGATATTCAGTTAGTTTTAAATAAAATAGAATTTGCAGAACATAAGTGGTTAGTTTGTGGAGATCTCGAAATATAAACAGTCATTTTAGGGCAGCAAACTGGATTGATCCTTGTTTCTGATGTGAGTGAGATAGTTGTGTTCACAAGAATCATTACACCAAGAAAGTATAGACTCAAAGAACTTCACTTCAGGTTGATTCTAAGAATGTAATCCTTAAAACTCTGGTGAATATAAAAAAATACTTCTCCCACCCCTACATATTAAATTAGGATTAATGAAGCAATTTATTAAATCCCTAAATAAGGCAAATGAAGGAAAATGTTACGAATACTTAAAACGACATTTACCAAAAATATCTAAAGCTTAATTGAAAGAAGACGTTTTCGATGGGCCAGAAATTAGAAAAATGCTCAGTGATAACACTTTTATTGAACATACGAGTTGATAAAGAAAAAGCTTCATGGAATAGTTTTAAAAGAACTGTAATAAATTTTCTGAATAATAGAAAAAGTGAAAAATACAAAGAAATATTAGCTGAAATGGTTAAAAAATTTTGGGCATCAGGCTGCAATATGAAATGGAAATTACATTGTCTTGATTTTCACATTGACTACTTCCCAATCAACTTAGGTGTTTACAGTAAAGACCAAGGAGAGAGATTCCATCAAGACATCAAAAAGATTAAAAGACGGTATCAAGAATGATGAAATGTAAATATAACGGTAGATTTCTACTGAAAGTTAAAGAAAGATGCAGAGAAAATAGGCTTGAATCCCAAAAGGAAACCACTCCTGAGATCGTATTATGATAAACGAGTGTGGTATAGCAAAAGAAATTAAATCAAAAAGATGTTTTATCAAGTGCATGAATCACAATAGACGTAAATATATTTTTCTACTTCATTAGCAATGAACTCTGAATTTGACTTTAATCTGACTTTGAGCCAAAGCTAATCGGGAAAGCGGACCTCGAAATCGTATTCAGCAACCTTGAAAATTTATAGATATCATAGTCTTGTTCTTCGCACATACAACTTTTTTTTCCGAGGCGGAGTGTAATCAGTGATTATAATAATAATTCATGATAAAGCGAGTAATTGAAAATCTCATATCAAGCAGCTTATTGATCAACAATTCGTGAACTGATAATTAAGTATTACGCACCATTTGCTCTAACAGAATTTCAAATCGTATTAATATACCCACATGCTTATACACAAATATAAGACTATAGATAATGTTGAACGGAAAATAAAAGTTACAAGATATAACATGATGATGTGTTGTTTCCTTCGATAATGATTTGTGCTTACAGTACAAACATTCAAAACTTATAATACTGAGCATTATAAAGCCAAAGCTCCAGAAAAGTGAACGCTGCCTTCTTCCGTTCCGTAACCGATGAAATAATATTCACCAAATCTCGCCCTAATTAGAACACCTTTCAATTGCATCCAGAGCAGATAATTAATGCAAAAAGGAGTCCATTTCGGGAAAAAACGCGGAGAAAAATAAAGGATAAATCGTTATACACTCCCACAGATCGGTACAAAGCGGAAGTACTAATATACTGAATGCAATCAGATTGACCTAGTAAAAGTAACAGACAGCAATAAGCACGATCAAACTGCTGTGTACCATTTACAGTACTTTAAGCGCTACATACCTATACACGAACGCTAACCATCTACCACGGAATTGGGATACGTACACATACCTATACACACGTGACCGACGACGAGAAGCGCTCCGGAAAACACCACAAAGACTAGTACCGAGATGTGACGTACTCACGCAATAGTGACAGCGGCCATTTTGAGTCACTTATACTACCTAATCAAGAGCAAGTGAAGTAGACTAAACAAGAGTGAGTGCGATAAACTAAACAAGAGCAAGCGAGACAGACTAAGCGAAAGCAACATATAGAGTACAGAAAATATTGCGAATAATGCAAATTAAATCAAAGTTGAAATTGGCGCTGCGAAATTGACCATACGTAATAAAATACGAATAGATAACGTATGACTGACAAATTATATCGAGGAAATTAAATATGCGTGAAATGAATGACATTGAAATGAAATGAAGTAAAAACGACAAATTAAATTGCATTTAACTATGGATATATGTAATGACCGAAGAATGCTTGTTGAAATATATGAAAATTACAATGCAGAAGCAAGTAAAATAGAGAATAATCAAATTGTATGCATACAAAAATACTTTAAATAGGTTAATCATATACGAGGTGAACCATTTTAATCAATACACCAAGATTTTTCCGCCTAGGTAATGTTTAGCAAAAAAATGTTTCATACGAAAGTTCTTGGACTCGGAAGAGGACATATCTCTCTGACCTTGTCTTAGACTTTGGAGGTCACTTTCAAGATCATGTGAAGTTCAGCCTTATTTTTTGAATAGGAACCCCTATTTTTGACCTCGTATTCGGAAAAAGCGGGAAACTCTACGTTCAGATGAAGTAACATAGTCGGGGTCCGGTTGATCCTCATAGATCATGTAGCGGTCAAACAAATGAATACTCGTGTTATGACCAATTTTTTTTCGGAAAAAAAGAAAATAAGAGATTATTGAATCAAAAATAAGATTTTATTCACTTTCATTTTTTTTTACAATAATTGATTTACAATGATTAACTTAAAAATTAATAATCGTATAAATACAATGTTTTTTTTCGTAAATGTAGCATCTAACTATTGAATAACTGCTCAAAACTACCACCTCTCGCTTCAATACATAAGTTTAGTCTTCTTTCAAGTTGTGCAACACTGTTATTGATAAACCACGTTTTTCACACATTCCTACAAATAAAAATCTAGAAATGTCATGTCGGGTGAACGAAGTGGTCACGCAACTGGACCTCCATGACTGATCCACCTATCAGGATATTCATCATTGAGGAAATTGCGTACTGCACGCGTGAATTGTTAAAGCGCCCTATCGAGTTGTACTCACATTCTTAATCTCGTATTTAGATTGATATTTTCTAGTAGAGAAGGCAAATGATCGCGGAGTAGTTCCAAGAAATTTTGACTATCAACGTTATGGTCAAAAAAATAAGGTCCAATCAAGTAGCCATTCACAATTCCACACCAGATATTGACCCTCGAACGGTGTTAATGATCAATTTGTCGATAATAGTGAGGATTATGATTTGATCAATAGTAGCAGTTATGTCAATTTAAGCTGCCATCACTTTTAAATGTTGCTTCATCTGAAAAAAGTACAAAACGAAAAAAGTTAGAATCTACTTAAAACATTTGTAAAGCCCATTCACAGAAACGTATACGTTCTAATATATTGTTGGGTGTCAAAGCCTGCGTTAACGTAATATGATATGTATGATAATGACTGGCTCGCAAAATTCTGAGAACCGTAGTTTGAGGAATATCATTTTCTCTGCTTATCTAGCATGAGCTTATGTGAAGATTCATGTGAACTAAAACAAGACCACTAAAACTCAAACGTTATTTCCGTTGTACTCGTGATGTCGCCTTTGGCACCGTAAATG